ATATATATAAATAAAATAAGTATCACTCTAAAAAACAAAAGCATCATCCTTAGAAAACCAGATTATTCCGAGTTTATGGTACAGAAGTGAAATTGGCAACTAATGCCAACTATTCAGTGGAAAAATGATAATGAAAAATGTTTGGCTAAAATCCATTTACGAGCAACCACCGAAAAAATGTAGTGACCATTTGGAATGAGTACCCATTAAGCTTTGACCATGGATAAGTGCCAGTCACTTTCTTTTTTTAGGTAACTCAAATGAAATGCAATTTTAAAATTGGAACATACTTCAGCTTTGCAGAAAACCCAAATCTGAAATCTGTTTTTTCTTCTTGCACAAACCAGCTCAGAATGACTTACGGAGTTCATTTCCTTCACTGAGAATCTCCACCCGGCGCACAAGCTGCTCAAACAGATTCCGCAAATTCAGCATCATAGTATCCATCTTTCTGCCAAGAAATCAAATATACATTAGCGGTCCTGCCTTCTCCCCATGACATAAGATTCAATAGCAATCTAGTGCAGCATCAGTGTCCAACATCTAGACTCTTCCATTTGCAGATACCATAATAAAAATCTCAAGCCGACAACTGATGTTCTGAGTGATACTTACTATAGAACAGAGGTGAAATGTTTAAGACTCATTCAAAAACTACAAAACCATTTCAAACCTTTAAGGATAACACCTCCTCCCTGCCTACTTCTTTCCCCTGCTCTGCAATCACTCTAGTGCTAGCAGGCAATTTGGAATGAACACATCAGCTGGATTACAAGGTGACTATAAAATGTGGTTCTCCAAGTTAGACTTATTAATATAATTTTTTTGCCACTTTAAACCTAGTGGAATTTGAAGACATACACTATAACTTAAAAGGTTTATTTTAAATTTCATTTTTAGTTAATGTCCTATCACAACTGCCTTTTAAAACTCAGGACATGGTCAGCAGATTTCCTACCAATGGCACAGATGACGTCACACAAGTGATTAAGTGGGGAAATTGCCAGCTCAGCAGCACAAGAATTATTTCTGTAACACAGGGTTCTCTGCTGGACTGTGTGCAGGGACTATATCTAATAAATTTATACCAAGCATAGGAAAGGATTATGTTGTACCACGTTCTGGCATCAGGGAGAGATAATACACCACCTTCACAGATAGAAGGGCAAATGAAAAATCATTGTCACTGTGTTCTGTACCGTGAATTTCAGGTTGAGTATGTCCACATACACAGCGCCCCCCAAAAGACTGCTGATATTACATTAAAAAATGCAGTCCCTACAGGCAGTTCTGTTCCAAACAGACTTTAACTGGGAACACCCTGAAGAAATAAGATCTTCATTTAGCAGTCAAGAAAGACATTTACTGGATATTAGGAAAATTATCAAGGAAGTGAAATAAAAAGTCAAATTTCATTGAAAATTGAATGTCCTTAGACATACTAGTCAAAGGACTCTTTTATGTTTCTCTAACCACTCAGCATTCTGGTCCAGGTCATGTATCGAAATACAATTTTCAGAACTCTATTATAAATGTTTAGTGATTCTGCAATGTTTTTAAGATTGTACCATAAACTATGAGGGTAAGAAAGGAAAAAACGAACACCACCACAAAGCACAAACAAATATATGAACATAAAGATAGTTCTATTAAATGCTACAAAAATATTCATTTGTACTCATGTTACAATTGCTGTAAAAGAAAAAAAAAAGTTCAATTCCAAGCTTTGATGCAATAGATACCTGAATCGGGGCAGAGATGAAGATTTTCAAACACTAATGTATCTGCTGGAAGTTATGCTATCACAGTAAACTGCTAAGATCAACAAAATATTACAAAGATCCTTCTATAAACTAAGAGCAAAGCCAGGCATGATGGCAGCATGCCTGCAATCCCAGCACTCTGTAATTCCAGCACCCAGGAGGCTGAATACAGCAGGAGGATCCCTGCGTGTTCGTGTTCATGGCCAGCCTGGGCTACACAGTAAGTTCACGACCAGCCTGAACTACATAGCAAGACCTTGTCTCAAAAGAAAAACCTAAGAACAAAACTAAAAGAATATCATTAAAACTGGCAGAAAAAGATCTGAAACTCTGAAAGAGATACTCATGAGATTAACAAAAATAGATAAACACACCCAAGTGCTCTAGGACAGAAAATGGGACAGGACATTCGGTAGCGGATTCACATGATGATCTCCTTTGGCTCTCAGTAAAAATGGAAGACACTATAGGGTATTGATTTCTTTCATCTCAACACTCATCTGTGTATTCTAAAATTTTAAAACAGTAAAAGCCTCTGTCCAAGAATGCAGAGAAAGAAATTTTCATTGTACAACTAGGATATTGAAAATTGTTTTTTAGAGTTAGCAATTTTAACTGACAATAAGATTTGATCTTGATCCCCTTCTATGATTTCAATGTTTGTGCCTCTCCAAAATTCATGCTGGAACTTATTCCTCAATGCAACAGTATTAAGAAGTGGTTAGGGTGTGAAGATTAGTGCCTTTACAAAAATGCTTGAAGGAATCTGGCCCTTTTTGGCCACCTACCATGTGAAGATGCAGCAAGAAGGTGCCATTTTGGAAAAAGAAAATAATTCTTACCAAAGAATCTGCTTGGAGCCTTGATCTTAGACTTCCTTGACTGCAAGAAATACATTTCTATTATTTATAAGTTACTCAGCCTAAGGTATTTTGTTATAGCACAGCAACAGACTGAGGCAGTCCCCTATACTAGACACTTTGTTACTCTAGACAAGAGCTTTGTGTGGAGCAATTCCTGATTCAAACAGACCACTTAAGTTTTTTCCATGATGTTTGTGGAAAGTAATGGTATTTCATTTCGCCACCACTGCCCTAGAGGCGACCTGATTTTGAGACACACTTTTATCCCTCCCTTTTATATGTATCAACTACCTTACAGCTACCCTACCCTACTGATTCCCAATTTGGTCTTATTTCTTATCATTCTCCCAGTCACTCAGTTTCAAACCTCAGAAACACCTTTGGTCCCTTGGTTTTCTATAAGCATAACCACCAAACCTTATGGACTCTTACTTCATTTGTATTAAGATGCCTTTCCGCACCACTTGGAAGCTGTCATCATTCACTTCAATTGTCCTCCTGCCTCAACTGACTTCCTTGTCTCCAGTCCCTACAACACTGCTTTGATCAACTGCCACTCAGACACACATCTTACACTCTAACTTTACCATGTTTCTGCCCTGTGTCCCAGGAAAACTGTAAATTTAGGGCAGAAGCCTTATATTTGGCACTACAGTACTGCACACACAAACATACAGTATTTA